CTTGGAAAGAACTCGAGATGGCATTTTTGAGCCGTCTAAAGAAACCCCAGCCATAAGCCGTAGACTGTCCACTGTACACTCTATTCAAAAAGTCCGTCCAGCCTTTTCAGTTTCAACATGACATAGGGGTGTGAAGAACGAGAGCACGGTTTCGAGGTATCTTCCATTACAAGCAGCTGGGGATAATGAGAAATTTTCTTCTCAGATATTCATACCGCCATGTTGGTCTTTAAGGTTTTGCAGGTTTAGGGTTGAGGCCTGTGTAGTAGAAGTTCTTTCAACAATAAGTCCTTTGCAACTGCATACGAGGCTGTTCATAAATACCATGCACAGCCTGCTAAACCCTAAACTTAAATCCCTGACAAGCACCTTCATGTAACCCTGCAAAACCTCAAGTTCCCAACAAGAAGAGAGTCCAAAGAGTTAGGATTTAGGGTTTAGGGCTTGGGGATTTAGGGGTTGAGGGATTTAGGGGTTTGGGGTTTTAGGGTTTGCCCAGCAAGAACTCAAAAAGTCCAAAGAGCCTCCGAAGCTGACACAGGAGGTGCTCGCCGTGGCCTTTCAGGAGCCGAGTAGATCGGAGGCCTCAAAAGGTGGGATTAAGGTAGGTAGGATCAAGGATCCCATATATGAACTTATATGGGTTTAGGGTTGAGGGATTATGTGGGTAGTTGTCAAAATTAGGGATCCCGATTTGGATCCTCAATATAATACGGCACCGTGCACCTAATATATAGGGTGCCCAATAAAGGGACCCCAATTCTGACAACCACCCATATAAGGACTCTCAATTGGGAATATCCCACCTACGTTCATCCCACCTCAGGAGCCCCTAAACCCTAAACCCTAAACTCTAAACCCAAAACCCAAAACCCGAAACTCTAAACCCAAAACCCGAAACCCAAAACTCTAAACCCTAAACCCTAAACCCTAAACCCTAAAGCCTCTTTTAGTTGGAGAAGCAGGGCTTAGGGCTTCGGGTTCAGGGCTTCAGTTCAGGAGTTTCCCGGGGCTCTCCTGGTAAGGTTTGGATCATCTACTACTACAACAACTACTACTACTAATAATAATAATAATAAAATAATAATAATAATACTAATATTACTACTACTACTACTACTACTACTACTACTACAACTACTACTACTACTACTACTACTACTACTACTACTACTACTACTACTACTACTACTTAGATTTTCAGGGTTTAGGTGTGTAATGTTTGGGTTGCAGGGTTAGAGTTTGGGGTTTAGGGGTAGTGTTACCGTAGTTCTTGGTCTATCATGATCGTCAATGCCGTTACTTTCCGGCTTTGGGAGTATTGGATGTTCATGATGGTCTCCAATGTGGCTACTGACCATGACGACTACTTCTTGTACATCTTGTTCTTCTTGTCTTCATGGTTCGGATGGGTAAGGCTATCATCATTGCTGCCTGCTAGCCTTTTTGCCCAACTTCGCAACCCGGCAAGCCGAAACCCGCTTGAGCTCCGAACGCTAAACGACCCTAGTGGCTCAGGAGATCAGAAGAGATCCTTCCGCCAGCTATGTCGGCCTGGAGGCAGGTTTCACTGGCATGTGGGTTTAGGGTTTAGAGTTCGGGGGTTACTGGCAGCTGTAGATTCCTTCAGTGCCTGGCGCTACCTAGTAAGTTTAGGGATTTGGGTGCTAGGCTATGTGGCGTAATGTGTAGGGTTGAATTCGCTTGAAATAGTAAGCGCTTAATCAGTGAGGCTGTCAGGAGGATACTGTTTGGATGAGGTCTTGTACCCTACTTGGAGGATCGCGGGACTTAGTAAGTAAGGTTATAAGTTGCCTAAGGGGCTATAAGTACTTATAAATATAGTTACCTAACTTATAACCCTACTTACTACGTCCCCTGATCCTTCAAGTAAACCCTAAACCCTAAATTGAGACAAAGCCCAGCGGCCAAGACCTGCCATGAACCGCTTCTGAAGCGTCCCCGTTTCAACCCAAACCCTGCACACTAAACCTAAACCCTAAACCCTAAACCCGAAACCCTAAACCCTAAATCCTTCACTCTGAATCCTGAAATTTGAAAGGATCCTTCACCATAGTGCCTTGACCAGAGTCACCAAATCCTAAACCCTGCGCAAAGAATCCCAACAGCTTCGGAGGATGTGCGGCTTGCCAAGCCTTTCGATCCGCACATCGTGCTCTTCCGTGACAGGGTCCAGTCCTCGGGCCAATGTGCAGAGTTTAAGGATTTTTTGAGGGTTTGTTTAACGGATCTATACTAGGACCCAGAGTAGGCCCTTATTCCCTTTTTTAGGGTTTAGGTTCCCTTATAACCCCCTTTAACCCAAAAAGGGCACCCTTTTTATCCCTGGGTTACTCTTAGGTCTAGTATAGGGCTCCTAACTAGGCCTCCCCCTAGGTTCCTTATACAGTTACCAGTTACCCACTACCAAAACGGGAGCCCTTTGTATTCCTAGGTCACTGGGCATCCTAGTTGAAGAAGGGATCTACAGTAGGGTTCCATAATGGGGGCCTTCATAATTAGAATAGTGTTTTGGGGGTTCCTTATTATACTTACAGTATAATAGGCCCCAAAACCCTGTTCCAGCCCTCACCGCGTTGATCCCGGGTCTTACCTAAACCCTAAACCTAAAACCCTAAACCCTAAAACCCTAAACCCTAAACTCCCAAAGCTCTCACCGTGTTGATCCCGGGTCTTGGAAGCCCGGCCGGAGTTTCCAGGCTTGGGCAAAGCTCGCAACATGGGTGCAGGAAATGCCGCTCGGCTGAAAAAAAACGTAGTTGGTGAGCACCCAATAAATTTTGGGGGAGGATCCTCCGAGCGAGCATTGTGGCGGGTTTCGGTCGTGTTCTTCAACAGGCGCTCTAGGATTTTGGATGGGCGCTGCTGCGACCGGGGTGTCGCACCCGCAAGCGCAAGGTGAGGAGTTTCTTCATTCTTTTGGAGATCTTCAGGGTCTACGGCCGTGCAAGGTGCAGGGGTCGCTTACCTTGTGTTGCATTTCTTATGTGTCTACAGGTGACCTGCTGTAAAAATATTAGCCTTACTGACAGTCTCATGGGAGTTAGTAAGTAAGGTCGTAATCAGGTTGTAATTAGGATAACCGCACTTAGGGATCCTATAACCCCAGTTATAACCTGCTTACAAAGTCCCATGACCCTCTAAGTAATATAGGGGCCTAAATAGTTACCTATACTATTCTGGGGGTTCCTGATAATAACTCTAGTATAGTGGGCCCCAAACCCTATTCTGATTATTAAGGTCGCTACATTAGTCAACACTCCAGTTCGCTCAGCAACTTTAAATCTTTTGGGCTTATATATTCGGTCTATCTTAGACAGTTTGAAGTTTTTGGGGCCGGGTTGTTGAAGAAGCGAGTACTGATTGCGCAACATCATTCACCGACAGGCTTTCACCACACGTACATCTTGAATCCCGAATCCTAAACCCCGACAGCCTGAAGCTCAAAAGGAGCTTCTTCGAGCACAAAAGCACCCAATGTTCGAAGTCCTAAAACCTAAACATTCCAAACACTAAACCCGGAAAGTCTCACTAAACCCTAAACCCACAGATCCAACTAAACCCTAAACCCCACTACAAAGGCTGGCTGGCTTCTCCGTTGACGAAACGTCCGGTAGACATAGATCAAAAAAAGCCTACTAAACCCTAGGCCTAAGACCCCAAAACGCCCCACTTCCGTCCTGAAAACCCCTAAACCCCTAAACCCAAACCCTAAACCCCTAAACCACTAAACCCCAGAACCCCTAAACCTCAAACCCCTAAACCCCTAAACCCCTAAACCCCTAAACCCTAAACCCCCTAAACCCCAAAACCCCTAAACCCAAAACCCCGAAACCCCGAGGATTCGGCTTTCCGGATCCCTGAGTGCGGCGCAGCGAGGCTCCCCTGTGTGAGGGAGCCCAGGGAGCTTAAGAAATGCACCTTAAAAGCAATCAGGGGACTTTGTCACGAGGGTTCCTGAAAGGAGAAACCTTAGGCCTATAACCCCTCCAGAATAGTAGGGTTCATATAAGGAACCCTAAAAGGCCCAAGGTTTCTCAATCAAGTTCCTACATATACCTTAAAGTACAAATTCAGGGTGGGGTTTAGGGGTTTAGGGTTTAGGGGTTTAGGGGTTTAGGGCTTAGGGTTAAGGGGTTCACGGTTGCGGGTCTAAGACCCGAAGAGCCCCTTACCCCTTAGTCTCAAGAATGCAGCCGTGAGCTAGGGCTCCTTCAAGGTCTTCCTGAAGGGGGTTTATCAGGGTTATACAGGGCCCATATACCGCTTCATGAAGCAGTATACCCTAAGTTATATGGGTCTTCATACTCTGATTTTAGCTGTTTTCCTTAAGCAAAGAAAGGGTATTGGGCTCGCTCGGGAGAGGCTTGAAGAGGAGCTGTTTCAGGGTCAGGGTTTTGGGCTTAGGGTTGTGGGTTTAGGGTTTAAGGTTTTGAGGGTTCCCTCAAAAGGGTTCTATAAGGTTTTTGAGGATTTAGGTTTTGGGTTTTGGGGGTTGCAGGGTTTGGGTTTAGGGTTTGGGTTCGGGCGCAGGATTTAAGGGTCAGGGTTCCGGTGCATTAGGAATCTGGGTTTAAGGCTCCAGGGGCTTTGGAGTTTCAGATTTCGGGGACTGCGCTCAAGGATCCTTGTTGGGAGTTGGGCTCGCCGAAAAGTCTTTGGATTATGTTGCCGTTGTTTCTCGTGTTGTTGCTTGTATTCTTGTGGGGATGCTACAACCCTATTATCATGATTATGTTCATGTTCATGTACATGTTCATGATCATCATCATCATCCTCATCATCATCCTCATCATCATCATCATCATCAACATCATCATCATCAACATCATCATCAACATCACCACCATCATCATCATCAGCTTGTCTGCTTGTCTGCTTCTTTTTCATCTCTCCGTCACCATCGTCATCATTGTCATCGCCATCCTTGTTGTGATACTTATAGAGCAATGCATAGCAATGCCCACGACGCGTTTGCCATGACTGCGCCTCCCTGTGAAATTGTCGATCGGTGCCCTTAACGGAGTCCGTAAAAGAGCCCGCAACAGGAACCTGAAGGTATAAGCCCTCTTGTTCCTGCTTTTGCTCCTTTAGTTACGGTCCATGCTTCGGTAGTTTGACTGCCATGTAAACCTTTAAATCCTGAACCCTAAAACGCTGGATCCTAAACCCTCTACCCTCGAACCCTGAACCCTTTAACCCTCAAGCCCTTTAGCTCTAGACTTGGGAACCCTGTAGCCCTTAACCTCTAAACCCTCAAAGCCTAAACCCTAAAACCCTAGATCCCATACCCTCAGATCTGTAAAGCTTAATGCCCTGAAAGCTATGCTTGACCCTAAACTGCTTGAAATTCTGAAAACCCAAACCCCCAAGCCTTATCCACTAAGCACGACATCCGGAAGTATCACGACAGGTACGAGCCAGGCCCCACAAGCCAGGCACGCAGCCACGGTGGGAATCTCGAATCCTTTCACTGAGGGGCTTGATGGTCAACATCGTTTTTTCCAGATTTTGGTGTAGGGTTTGGCTGCTGTTTAAGAAAGGGTTTCGACATGTTTAGTATTTTTGGTAAGAGAACTTCTGCCGGTTGCTTAAGGGGTGCTACGGTTGATGATGAACTATGGGGAGTATGGTATATTCCTTATTTTGGGTAATGCAGGATTTGCGTCATCAACCGTATTACCCGCTGTTCGGAGTTCGTACCTCTACGTTTGATCCCGTGCACTTCAACCCCCTAAACCCTAAACTTCCTAAACCCTAAACCCTAAACCCCTAAACCCCTAAACCCCTAAACCCTAAACCCTAAACCCTAAACCCTAAACTTCCTAAACCCTCAACCCCCAAGCTTGTGGGATTTAGGAAAGATTGGGTTCAGGGGCCCTAAAGGGGCGAGACCCAGACCCCCCTTGGGAGGATCCAAAAAGTAGATCCCTTAATTGGGGGTTCCTTTAAGGGTTCCTTTAAGGGCCCCTTTACGGGATCTATAGGGTTTTAGGGTTTAGGGTTTAGGGCTTAGGGGAGGATCCAAAAAGTCGATCCCTTAATGGGGGTTACTCTAAAGTACCCTCAGTAGGATGGGCCCCAAATTAGGGGATCTACTTTCTAGATCCTCCCGGGGGTGTAGCCCTCAGTGAAGTTCTTAGGAGCATGCTTGTGCAGGCCCATACATGTGAAGGACTGAACACTTGTGTACCGCAGCGCGCTTGAGCAGCATCAAAAGAGGTGAGCTCACTTGTGTTTTCCCAAGTTTGGTAGCGGAGCTTCGACTCTTGCTTCGCCATAGCTGGGAGCGCTGCGGTGGCCCAGGCGCATCCTGGGCAGCTGGTCTCGACCAGCCTTTTCTCCTCCCACACGAGCACAACGATTACCCGATTCTCCCCAACCACGACGTTTTTTCAAGAAAGGAGCCTGGCGGCGGCGATCCTCCTGGTCTTCTACCTCAACACGGGCATCCTAGTGCCCGGGACCTGGCTTTGGCATCGGCTGCCTTTGGCTGTATCACAGAATTCGATAGTCGGCGAAAGCTTGGTGATCCAGGGCGAGCACAAGCACTACGAGGAGAACTTCTCCGCGGACTACGAGGACCTTTTCTTCGTGGACTTCGGGAACGACCTCCTCTACAACGACAAGGGCGACTTCTTCGTGGATTACCAGAGCGACTTCTCCGTGGATTACCAGATCGACTTTTCCGTGGATTACAAGAACAACTCCTCCGTGGACTACCTGCACAACGTCTTCTACCTCGTCCCTGGAAAGCGACCAATGGCGACTTCTTCGGCACCTACCTCAGGAATACCCCTGCACGAATATCGTCGCGATGTTCCTCCTGGCTGGGGTCCCAACCTTCCGGACTACAGCCTCAAGACCTTCTTCGAGCGACTCAAAATGTGGTATCGCTTGTATGACGGCCCGGACGAGACTGTTGGGCCTCTTGTGGCTGGCCGCTTGGTAGGTAAGGCTCAGAAGCTGGCTTTGGCATTGCGTTTGCCAAGGCCTGACGGCCAGGTGGACATTGGGTCGGACGCCTTGGTGAGACTCCCTGTTGACGAGGTGCGTGACCCGGCGAACCCACAGGTGATCTTGCAGCACTCGATCGTCAGTGGGATCCAAGCTTTGTGCAACAAGCTCAGAGAAACGTTCGGCCATACCGACCAGGAGATGGCCCAGAAAAGCTTGGAGTCTCTGTTCGAGCTGCGGCGCGGCAAGCTCACGCTGCAGGAGTACGCTGTGGAGTTCGACACGCGGATGGAGGAAGCACATGAGCGGGCAGGCTTGGAGATGAATGAAGTGGCCCACTACTACTTCTTCTTCAAGAACAGCGGCCTGCCACAGCGACTCATGGACGATATCCGCTTACAAGTGCACGGCGACCTCCGCCGGTACCAGGAGGCACGGAGCTTGGCTTTACGCTTGAGTACCAAGAACGAAGGCGAGACTTTCTACCAGGATGATGACCTCGGCGGCGACACCATGGCTGACCGAGAATCCTGGGACTCTTCCTGGTGGTCGGACGGCTGGGACGAGTACTACGACGAGAGCCTCTACGACCACTCCTCCTGGTATGGCGAGGACGACTACTACGGCGAGGACGAGGAGCAAGACGGCCAGTGGCAAGAAGACGGCGAAGGAGCTGGCGATGATCTTGATGGTGGCGACGTGTCATGGGACTACCCCGTGAAAGGTGGCAAGGGCAAGAAGTCGAGGGGCAACGCCATGGGTGTTGGCTGCTCGGTCTGTGGCAGCAAGTGGCACAATGCTTCCTCTTGTCCTGTTGGAGGCAAAACTGGGAAAGGTGGCTACGACAAGGGCGGCTACCCTGGCAAAGGTTCGGGAAAAGGCTACGGCAACAAAGGCTACGGCGGCAAAGGAACCTTTGGCAAGAACAAGGGCGGATGGCGCCCATGGAACTCGTCGAAGGGCAAGTCCTTCGGCAAGCGGCCGTCCTGGGGTTTCGGTTCCAAGGGCAAGTCAAAGGGCAAAGGCTGGCGAGGTTACGCCGAGTACCCCGACGGCTACTCTCACGACAAGACCCTGGCGGCCCACTTCGGCACCGACACCTTCTCGGCCTTCCCGGCAAAGACCTCCAGCTCGCGACCTATGGTCTTTGACATGGACAAGGGCGAGCCGGAGATCCTTGGAAAAAGGACGGTTACCTTTGAGACCGCTGAAACCGAGGCTGCTGAGACCGACGAGGCACCCACCGAGGGAGCCACACAGAACAAGGGCCTCGACTTCCACTTCCCGGTTGCCCTCTACGCGGACCGCGAGCACTTCCACATGATCGGCGGAAACAAACGCCGTGGACTGCTGGTGGACCCTGGGGCCAGCAACGGCCTTATCGGTTCAGAGACCCTTCGCGACATCATGGATACATGTTTGACGGCAAAGACGAGGCCTAAGGTGCAATGGAGCGACAAGGTGGCCAATGTTTCTGGCATCTCCGGGGCACAGAACCAGACGCTCGGAGAGGTCACCTTGCCTCTCGGCTTCGGAGAAGAAGGCCGTGGCACCTTTACGGCCGACGTTCTTGGAGGCGAAGGCTCTTTGTGTCCGGCACTGCTGTCGAACCCGGCTTTGAGAAAAATGTGTTCAGTGATCTACAGCAATTTCTTCGACAATGGAGACGGGCTCATCGCTTGCACAAACAAGAGCGAGGAGCCGCACGGAACAAAGCCCTCCTGGCACTACTTCCGGCTTCTGCTCACAGACTCTGGGCACTACTTGCTGCCTGTGGACATGCGACCCAATTTGGTCTCTGAAGAAGTCAAGGTGAAGGCTGGCGCTTTCATGGCCAGCGCAGCAAAGGCAGCAAGGAACAAATGGGGCGATGTGCGGCATTGCTTCTACGGCACAGGGAATGCTGAACTTGAGCGGAGTGAAGTGTACCATGGGCTGAGCAAGGGTGCGACGCAGGCCGATGATCACAGTGTCCATCGTGATCCAGCAGAAGTTCAAGCAGATGATCACAGTGTCCCTCGTGATCCAGCAGAAGTCCAGGCAGACGATCACAGTGTCCCTCGTGATCCGGCAGAAGTTCAGGCAGACGATCACAGTGTCCCCACGCAAGATGATGATCAAGTCTCCGGTGAGTCTGGTCCTTTATGTCAAGTGAAGCATCCGAGTGTCCGTGGCATCTTCCTTCTGTCCAAAGACGATCCTCGGCAAGTCTGGAGCGCTTCTGATGAGTGGACCCTGTTCGGCGACGTCTTGGTGCGACATCATCATATACCTCGTAGAGCTATGTTCACACCAGCATGCACCAAGGATTGCCCTGTGGATCCGGCTTTGCTTTCGGACTACCGAGAAACCACATGGCGACAGGGCGGACACTCCAAGGTCTACAAGGACTCCTGGCGGCAGGCAGCACATCCTCACCGAGACCTCGGACACATGTGGACAGGGCAGACGAAGTTCAAGTTGAAGAAGGAGGCCACCAACCCAAAGGCATCTGAGGCGGCTTCTGAGACGGACCTCGAAATGCCTTGGGATGACTTTGCGGGGTACAAGGAGGACATCTTCCCTGAGCACTGGAGTTCTACTGAAGTCAAACAACATGCACAGCGGTATGTCTCTATGGAAGAGGAGTACTACACCAAAACGAAGAGACGCCCGGTGACCCCGAAGAACTTCTCCACGTGGTTCTCAAGATGCATGGGCCGTGGACTTCGGTGGCAATTCCAAGAACTCTTTTCAGGCTCGGGACGTCTCAGTTTGCTGGCGGTCATGTCCGGTCTTATGGTCGGATTTCCAATCGATCATAGATACGGCTGGGATTTGGCGATGCCAGATCACCAAGCCATGGTGAAGCAGGCGAGGGATGAGTTTCTTCCCTACTACATGTACGCATCGCCTACGAGCTCTCCTTGGCAATCCTCCTCCAACGAAAAGACACCTCATCTACTACTACCGCGGCAAGCAGCCGAGAGGCCAGCACTGGAGTTCCTTCGCTCGCTATGCCAACAACAAGCTCAAGATGGTCTTCGTTTCGGTGAGGAACAACCACGCAACTCTACTTTGTTCCAGAGCAAGAACAGCCCTCTTCACGAGATCTACTACATCCCAGGAACAAGAAAGAAGCAGCAGGTGGACCAATGCTACCACGGGTGCGTGAATCATGATAGCCACCCGGTCAAGAAGTCTACAACCATTGTGAGCAACATCAAGCACCACAACACGGCGAAGAGATGCAGCGGCCACCATGGCGAGTCGCATGCAGTGATCAATGGGAGCTTTGCTGGGGCCTCCATCATCAACAAGACGGTGGTTTATCCCCGCCGGATGTGTCGGGCCATTGTTGAGGACGTTTGGAAGTCTCTGAAGGCATCCGGAGTGATCGTGCAGCAATGGCCCAACGAGCTTCTCCTACATGCCGATTTCTCGGGCTACAAGTGCGAGCGGTGTCAACTGGGTCGAGCTGCTCTACCTTTCATGGAGCACACGCTTATCCCAGGGGAGTGCAGATATGGACGTCGACCTCCAGGCGAAAATCCTCGACTTCCTCTGCGACCAATTGACCCTCTCTCTACCTTCAAGAGGAAAGCTCGTGACAAGGACCTCTCCGGCATCTCCTTGGGAACTCCGGCGGACATCTTCTTGCCGGTGCAGGCTTCCCTATATCTCAAGTACACGTTGCTGATGGTTGTGCAAGACACGGTGGCCATCTTCTCCGAAGCTGTGGAACGTGGCCTGGAGTATGTGCACTGGCTCACCGATCCCGTGCACAAAACCATGTTCCAGGAGATCTTCCAGAAGGAGATGAATGTCAAGGGCATTGCTTGCGCAATTCGGCCCTTCCACTGCTTGGTTCCTGAACCCAAGCTGTCTCCAAGGGCTGCTCCACTGCGACTACAGATACGAGGTGATGTGAAGAACTGGAAGGTGATGGAACTGGAGGATCTCAGACTGCTGAGCCACTCTCAGCAGCATCAGCGCATCGAGGAGATTGACTGGCTCATCACGCTGTTCGGAAGTTCGGTGCGGATCCTGGACAGGACAAGGAAACTTCCCAGGAACCTGAGAAAGAACCTCCTGGGGCCATCCCGTCGACTCCTACGAAGGCAGGCCATCGATCGAGAGCTTCCTCCTCGAAGGATGATCTACCGACTCCGGCATCGAAAGACGACCTACCACCAGATCCGGAAGAGATCGAGGAGGAGACCTTCGAAGGGGCACCTCAACAGCCCATCAAGCCGCTTTACTCCTTCAAGAAGGTCTTCAAGCGACTACGGCAGATTGCCGAATCGGACCCTCTCACTGCGAAGAGGCTGATACTGGGGCTTCATGAACGATTTTATCATGCCCCTCTCGGTGACCTTCGGAACCTACTGGCACGTTGTGGAATGCCTGGAGAAGTGTTGAGTTTGGTTCCGGACGCAGTCAAAGGATGTGCGGTTTGCAGAAAGTATGTGAGGCTGCCTAACCGGCCTCAGGTCAAGGTCACCTCGTCGAACGTGTTCAACGAGAGAGTGCAGATGGATCTGTTCCAGTATGCTGGGAAGTGGGTGTGTTTGCTGATTGACGAGGCCACAAGATACAAGATCGGCTTCCTGATCGCCGACAAGGGCTGGAAGGAGATCACCCGCATGCTGCTTTCGACGTGGATGATGTATTTCGGCCCTCCAGCCTTTCTTGTTGCTGACCAAGAGTCCTCTGTCATGTCCCACGAGGCGAGTGCCGATTTGGAGCGCTTCTGCATCACCCGATGCCCTCGGGGAACTACCAGCGGCACTGCCGGCAAGCAGCACACTGGTACAGGTTTGGTGGAACGCCATGTTGCTCTCACAGAGCTCACGATGAGGAAACTGGCGAGCGAGCTCAATCGCCAAGGGCTCTACTCCGACGTGGACGAACTGGCCAGAGAGGCAACGATGGCGCAGAACCTCTCTCTGAACTTTGGCGGCGTGACACCGGCGATGGCAGTTCTCGGCGTCCTTCCGAGGCCATTCTTTGATGTGGCCACAGACAATGTCATGTCCGACGCCGGTGCCCTCCAGACGGACCTGTCACAGTTCGAGCGGGCTCTTCGCGTGAGGCAGATTGCCATGGCATGCATTCAGCAAGCCATTTCAGAAGACAGAGTGGCGAGGGCCAACAGAACTCGCACGAATCAGCTGGATATTGGCTCTTTGGTTCCTGGAACCTCTTCTGTCGACATCTACCGCGAAGTTGCTGGCGATGTTGGATGGCGTGGCCCAGCTGAGCTCTTGAAGATCGACGCTCAGGAAGGCAATGCGGTGGTTCAATATCAGGGCAGACCTTACCTCGTTGGGCTACGACATCTACGACTGCATGAGGCTACGAGCTTTGTGGTCCTGCCTGAGGATGTTCAGAACTCCATTCGAGAACTACGGACCATGGCGGAAGCTCAACGTCCATACAAAGTGTCGATTGTCGGGTGGATCCTTGATCATTCGGATCAACAACATGTTTGGCGCCGATCCTCGAGCTCCTTCTCCCAGTACGAAGAGATCATGCAGCACGCCACGGCGGCATCGAGACACTTCAGCGACCGACCTTTCGGCGGTGTTGCCATTGGTCAAGGGGTACGACATCTACGACCTCCTCCTCACTCTGTTGGCGTGTTGATGTTGTGGGCTCAAGGTGCTGAACAGTACGTCTTTGAGGAGCACTGGGACTCCTCCATCGTGAAGATCAAAGACATGGTTCCCTTTCCTGTTGAGGACGCGTGCTTTCTGTACTTCTTCTTCTACAACCACGTCGAGGACGAAGTGAGGCCATCCTCACTGAAGGGTTCAGGGGACTCCATCCCCTTGGTTCCAATGGAGCTGGACTCGACAGAACCGGCCATGGACACCTCTGACCTGATCGACCACAAGCGGAAAGGTCCAGAAACTCGATCTGTTGTTCTAGGACCCGAAGACAAGAAGCAGAGGACCGACGCACTGGTTCTCCAGGCCCTCTACGCGGGAGGTCACGACATTGACTATCTTCAGCAACTGCACTGGCTCTCGAATGCCAACAGGAAGGTGAAGCTCGACCCTCAACACCATGCTCTGGCAGCGTGTAACTCACCTTTGGTTTCTTTGCTGGACGCCCACATGTACCGGGACGCGATTCCTCCATCACTGCATGGCTTCAGTGAAACCACGAGACCGTTGGTGACGTGGCCTGGCAAGCTTTTCTCTACGTTTCATGTGGACCTCCAGGACGGTTCAGCTTTCAAGGTTGACACGGACACCGACATCATCTCTGAGTCGGATGTGTTCCCAATTTGGGACAAGGTGGAAGAAGCTGACCGCAAAGAGCTGCTACAGTTCATTGAGACCAAGTCCTTCAGGAAGGTGATCATGAACACATTGTCCGAGGATACCGTTGTGATTGATGCAACATGGGTGAGAAAGTGGAAGCGCAAGGCAGATGGAAGTCTGGTGGTGAAAAGCAGGCTGTGTGCACGCGGCTGTTTCGATCCTCATCGGGAACACCTCACCACGAGGAGCACTACAGCCACCAGACTCTCTCAGCGCATCGTTCTCTCGACGGCGGCTACTCACCAGATGGACTGCGAATCCTTCGACATCTCGGGGGCTTTCTTGAAAGGCTTCACGTTTGAGAAAGTACGACAGTTGTTGCGAGCACGCGGCATAGTGTCACCGGTGAGAAAGGTGGTGATCATACCTCCTGCCAACGTGTGGAGACACCTTGCTCAGGCCGACTCCTCCTTTGAAACCTATGGTGACTACATCTCCTTCGGCCTGGCTTGCGATAAACCAGTCTACGGGCTAAATGACGCTCCTCTGGCTTGGCAATTGTGTCTCCATGAGTTCCTGAAGAAGCACGGCGGTTTTCCCTCACTGTTGGACGAGAACCTGTTCATATGGAAGACACCACCTCCAGAGAACAAGCTGAAGGCCCTTGTGTCTACGCATGTCGATGACCTGGCCACTGCTGCGTTCAAGGCCTTCATGAACTGGCTATTTGAGACACTGAAGAAGGAATTCGGCAGCGTCACCCGGCAGACGATGCCTTTCGACCACTGTGGTTGTCGTTACGAACGCACAGCGGATGGCTACAGGATGTCGCAAAAGCACTTTGCCGAAAAGCTGGTCGAGACAGAGATTGCCGAGAACAAAGACGACGACACCGCTTTGACCCCTGCTGAGTTGACCACCTTCAGGTCGATATTGGGCGGCCTTCTGTGGCTCACCGCCACTCGGATGGACATCATCTCTGATGTTGCCCTTCTACAGTCACAGGTGACCAAGGCTCGCATATGTCACCTTCGACTTGCGAACCGTGTGGTTCAAAAGGCCAAGCATCCAGACTACATCGACCTCGGCCTCCACTACCGGTTCCTTCACGGCAACCTACGCCTACTTTGCATCCACGATGCAAGCTCCGCGAATAAGGACCGGAACTACGCTCAGGAAGGCATCCTCGTGCTCCTGTGCGAAGACAATTTCAATGTGGACGATGGCGTCTACAAGATGGAGGCCAGTGATGAGTTGGTAAGAAATCTGGGAGGCAAGGCTCACGTGCTCTGGAGCCACGGCGCTAAGGCGAAGAGAGTGTCGTACAGCACTTCTCATGCTGAGACACTGGCGGCTATCGGCGGGCTAGAAACGGTTTCGCTGGTGGCCATCCGTCTCTCCGAGCTGATGTTCGAGAAGGGACAGCCTACGCTGAAAGACCTCATGTCGATCCAGGAGAATGGAAATCCACTGCTGCCGGTGGATGCCATGACGGACTGCCGCGACTTCTACGAGCTGACGACTGGGGAAAGGACTCTGCCGCAAGACAAAGGGCAGCGCCTATATGTCTTGGCACACAAGGAAGCCCGGATATGCGGACGCATCAGGTGGATGATCCTGGTTCCTACGGAAAGCATGACGGCGGATGCTCTCACAAAGCCGATGATTTCTCCGCCACTGCTTCACCTGATGTCCTGCGGCCTGGTGGAGTTCAAGAATGAAGACGGACATCCTCTTCTTCTACGGCGTCTTCCTCCAATCAAGGACGTCAATGAGGACACGATTCTGGAGAAGGACGACGTTCTGGTGAAGAACTTCCTGGTGTTGCTGGCAGCCTCCATGTACAAGGTTTCCAAACCATTTATGCTGGCGACGGTTATGGCTACGCAGGTTACCTCGACTTCGGCCTCCACGACCTCTACCACGTCTTCGACTTCACCGACCTCCTCTTCGGATATGTCATGGTGGTGGAACGATGCTACGATGTTCTGGCTGGTGACGATTCTGGCGATCATCACTGTCGAACGACTAGCTCTACATGGTCTTCTTCGTGGAGTGAACACCCTGTGGGCTCTACTTCCTTCGAGGCCGACTTCGTTCTCAACAAGCTCTACGACGTCATCGACGAGCTCTACAAGCACTCAGACGGATCAGGTCTTCGTCCACAACCTGGTGGAAAACCGGAAGCACATCATCCTGTCTGATGAAATCGCCTACAAGGAAAGTGAGATTCGACGTCTTCGTGAGCAGATCTCCGTCCTGAACAACCGTGGCACTGGAGAAGCGGACGATCTGAGAGTGCAGTTGCAACTGAAAGACGAACAGCTGCGAAAGCTGGAAAGAAGGATCAAAGATCACTTCATCAGCTGCACTTCGTCCATGACTCTTACAGTCGCTCAGTGTTCCAGATGCTGGCACAGAAACGGCTTCTGTGGCCAATTCAAGAAGGGCTCTAAGCTCAAGGAACTGACACCGTGCTCGTTCTGCAGCTACTCGACTCCGAAAGAAACCCTATTTCCTGAGTTATTTCCCTCAACGGCGAGTTCTAGCACAGGGTAATGCAGAACATGAGCGGAGTGAAGTTCTTAGGAGCATGCTTGTGCAGGCCCATACATGTGAAGGACTGAACACTTGTGTACCGCAGCGCGCTTGAGCAGCATCAAAAGAGGTGAGCTCACTTGTGTTTTCCCAAGTCCCTCAAATTACTTCTTCAGTCGCTATCGCAGTCTCTGGGTTAAGGATAGGGGTTTTGACTGTGTGTTACTGGCTGAGCTCTATATTATGTTTGCAAAGCCCTAAACCTTGGCACGCAGTGTTTCAGGTGGATTTCACATGATCTGAGGCTTTCGAAGGGTTTGACTATTAGTGTGTTTTCGGCCTCCAAAGACTTCAAGCAATATGTTTTTGGATGAACGACTCCTGCAACATCGATAAAGCACATGGTGTGGAGAATACGTCAAGAATTCCTGAGGCCTTGGCGGCGGCACGTTGCATCCTAGGCCGGGAGGGGTCTCTGCGCAAGGGGCTTGCCAGTTTGTGCTTTGGGGTTAAAGGTTTAAACCCTAAACTGGCTCTTAACACTAAAACCCTAGTTTCAAGGTGTTTGGGGTTTTTGGTCTGGCGTCTGGGGTTCAGGATTTCTGGGTGAAGCATGAAGCCCCAAAATCCTGCAACCCTGAACTACCCAAACTCTCCTCTGAAGCCTACGCACTCGACCCTAAACCTAAGACCCAAACTGGAGCCAGCCACTTGCGCTTGACGAGAGCGAGGGCATGGCTTGCACATGAGGGCTCCGCAGTGCGCCTGCGTCAGCAGGCGGAAACCGCCTCTAGGACCTAGAGTAGGCCCTTATTCCCTTTTTTAGGGTTCAGGTTCCCTTATAAGCCTCTTTAAGCCAAAGAGGGCAGGCTTTTTATTCCTAGGTTACTCTTGGGTCTAGAGTGCGCCTGCGCCAGCAGGCGGAAACCGCCTTACCCCAAGCCCTCGTCGTGCCGCACCGCAACCCCCGCCTGGGGGGCCTTTGGGGTTTTTTGGAAGGACTTTGGGGCCCTCAACCCTGAAACCTACATCGAGGCCAGCTCAGGAGGCCTTCCGACTCCACCGCAAGCCAAATCCAGCCAGAACAAGGTCAAGAGCTCTTCGCACTACAAATCCGGCCAAAACCCTCCTGCATTTTCATTCGGACTCCACCGACTCACCGCAAAGCCAAAACTGGCCGAACCCAGGACCAAGCTTAAGCTAAGAGGTCCGCACATGCCAAACCTAGAGCCACCCCACCCAATTGTCAACCCTGCCAAGAGGCGAGGACCCACAGCTCAATTCCAAGTGCTTAAACATACACACATTGAACCGCTGAACGCGCGTCGTCTGGGGAAGCCCTAAACCGTCGCGTAAAAGCACGACCCAGCCTCCTTACAGCCCCACACCTTGAACCCGATGATGTAGAAACCTGATTAAGAAACCCTGGGGCCCTAAACCCTAAACCCTAAACCCTAACCCCAAGGTAGTAGGGTTCACATAAGGAACCCTAATGAAGTCCCAAGGTTTCTTAATCAGGTTCCTACATTATTATAGTACCCTCATAGATCCCTTAAAGTAACCCTTATAGTTCCTTTAGGGTTCCTTTAAAGGGGACCTCTTAGGGTTCCTACATTAGCCCTAAGCCTCTTCAGGGTTTCGATCTTCGGGTCCAACCCCGGAGGATTGGCGCAGATTCCGCTCCAGCTGGTGCCTCCTCGAAGGCCTGTCTGACCATGGCTAATATGGGTGGCTGTCACAATTAGGGTCCCTTTTTGGGTCCTTATTAGGGTACCCAAAAAGGGACCCCAATATAGACAGTCACTCATATTGTTGCTTCAAGGGTAAGAAAGGGTACTATGAGTGCCTGATTGCCTTGCTGGCGAATATGATGTAGAATAGGGGGCCTGGATCGTCCTAAAGGCTCCGTAAGACAGCCTTAAAGTAGCCCTATTAAAGGAGCCCCTAAACATGCCTTAATTCGCTTTCAAGTTAAGGATCATGGCTGGTTCTCTTTTTCTATGTCGTAGATGCATGCGAATTTCTTAGTTTTGAGTGTTGGAGATGTTGTGTTTCTGATTAGCACAGTGTTTGGGTCTTCCCCAATAGTTTGCAAGGATTAGAGTGTATACGGCAGCCTTTGAACACACCAACCCGATAAATCTTTGTGAACACCCCTTAAGGGCACACGGGAGAAGCTGGGGAAGCAAGGACTACCGACATCTTCGAGCGTCTGAACCTCGGTGCTCGTCGGATGCAGGTTAGTTTTGAACATCTGAAATCACAGATCCAAGCTCTGATAAAACAACATTGGAACCTCATGGGATTGACCCAGTGCCAGCCACAGGTTGTGACTGATGCTTGTCTGTCGTGGGCCCTGATTCGAGGACGCGATTTCGTCTTACTGGTGCTCGAGGGGGAGTGCGGGATTGGATCCGTATGATAGCCAGATAGTCTCCTTCTTGCAGTCTTCCTTTGATGTAGGAACCTGAATATTGGGATTTACATAAGAACACCCTAATAAAGGCCCAAGGTTTCTTAATCAGGGTCCTACGGTTGATGATGTAAATCCTGCATTGCCCATAATAAGGAATATACCATACTCCCCATAGTTCAGGGTCCTTAAGGTACTGCAGGATTTATATCATCAGCCTAAACCCTAAACCCTATAGATCCCCTGAAGGAGCCCCTTAAAGGTACCCTTATAGATCCCTTTAAAGGAACCCCAGGATTTGTAGCATCAACCGTACATTAGCACCGGTAAGTCATGATATTACATTATTATAGTACCCTTATAGATCCCTTATAGTAACCCTTATAGTTCCTTTAGGGTTCCTTTAAAGGGGACCTCTTAGGGTTCCTACATTAGCCCTAACCCCTAAACCCCTTATAGTACCCTTATAGATCCCTTATAGTAGTCCTTAGAGGAACCCTTTAAAAGGAACCCTTAAGGATCCCTTAAAGGAACCCCTAAGGATCCCTTAAAGGAACCCCTAAGGATCCCTTAAAGGAACCCCTAAGGATCCCTTAAAGGAAACCTTAAGGATCCCTTAAAGGAACCCCGAAGGATCCCTTAAAGGATTCCCTAAGGATCCCTCAAAGGAACCCCTAGGTTCCTCCTAAACCCTAAACCCTAAACCCCTAAACCACTGAACCCCTATACTTCCTTTCGGGTTCCTTTAAAGGGGACCTCTTAGGGTTCCTACCTTAGCACCGGTAAGTCATGATAGTACATTATTATAGTACCCTTATAGATCCCTTATAGTAACCCTTATAGTTCCTTTAGGGTTCCTTTAAAGGGGACCTCTTAGGGTTCCTACATTAGCCCTAACCCCTAAACCCCTTATAGTACCCTTATAGATCCCTTATAGTAGTCCTTAGAGGAACCCTTTAAAAGGAACCCTTAAGGATCCCTTAAAGGAACCCCTAAGGATCCCTTAAAGGAACCCCTAAGGATCCCTTAAAGGAACCCCTAAGGATCCCTTAAAGGAAACCTTAAGGATCCCTTAAAGGAACCCCTAAGGATCCCTTAAAGGATTCCCTAAGGATCCCTTAAAGGAACCCCTAGGTTCCTCCTAAACCCTAAACCCCTAAACCCCTGAACCCCTATACTTCCTTTAGGGTTCCTTTAAAGGGGACCTCTTAGGGTTCCTACCTTAGCACCGGTAAGTCATGATAGTACATTATTATAGTACCCTTATAGATCCCTTAGTAACCCTTATAGTGTCTTTAGGGTCCTAAGGATCCCTTAAAGGAACCCCTAAGGATCCCTTAAAGGAACCCCTAAGGATCCCTTAAAGGAGCCCCTTAAGGATCCCTTCAAGGAACCCCTAAGGATCCCTTAAAGGAACCCCTAGGTTCCTGCCTTAGCACCGGTAAGTCATGAGGGATGTCGGCCTTGGGGCGGCCTCTGGCTCCGGTTCCTTGGTTTTGTAGTGCCGGGCCTTGAGCCCTAAACCCCTTCTCTTGGGGCCCAAATATTATTTATTTTTTTTTGATTTCTGTTTTTTTAATAGATTTTTTTTTAGATTTCTATTTTTTTTACCAAGGGGGTCTGCAAGGATTGCTACAAGGGGTATTATGGGACTTAATACAGGGGGCTGTATGGGAGTTTCCGAAAATAGGGGGGACCCTTATCGAGTACCCCAAATAGCAGGATCCTTATTATAAGGACCACCAGGTAAGGCACCCCGAATAAGCGGAAGCTCCCAAATAATTACCAATACTGATTTGGGGGTTCCTTATGGTAATTGTAATATCATATACATAAACTATCAAACCCTGTTCTAAGTATTAAGGCCCCTACATTACCTGGGGCAACTGGAAAAGGGATCTCAACAAATTGAAGATCTGAGTTCATGCGTGAAGTGATGGGATTTTGTAGATGAGACTCGATCACTGGAAGCCGGAAAGCTCGACAGTGGTATCTTAAAGGGCTCCAAAGGGGTGCTTCGGAAGATTTCGGAAGTTGAGGGAGAATACTCCGAATCCGCAGAGCTTTCCCCCTGGTGAGGACGATTGTGCTGAAGAACGCGAAAGCCCCTTCCGCTGCGATCTGGATTGGGTTCATGGAGGCCGACAGACGCTACCGAAATCCTTCCTGGAAAAGAGGGCAGCGACGGGTGTTTCTCTGGAGAAAGACGGAGAAAGGAGCAATGACAAGCGATGCTCACTTGACTTGCAGTTTGCGACGTCCACTGGGAGGGTCTGTGCATCCTCGGCAGTGTGCGAAGCCTTGCCGATCAGCAGGAGCACGTGCCCATCGAGATGGTGGAGGCTACTTTTCGATACCTTAAGCCCTAAACCCTAAACCCTACCCTAAACCCTGAGCTGGAGTGCGCAGCATCCTGTCTTCTTCGTGACGGTGGAGTCTTCCGGCTGTGGTGCAATGCCGGGCCGGAAGGGCTGCTGTAGCGGTGCCTTGGATCGGAAGTTTCAGACCACGGAGACAAGCGGGCCGACGGTGGAGATTGAGCAGAAACAGAGCCACAGTTTCGATCTGCTACCCGGCTTTGAGCCATACTATAGGGGCCTTAATGATTACCTATACTATTTGGTGGTTCCAGGTTACAATTACAGTATAATGGGCCCTAGTTATTAAGGCCCCTATATTAGACATGAGGGATAATGTGCCTTGAGGTCAAGGCTTACGTGCGGGAGTTCTCCAGTGGACTCCGTCACCTGCATCGAGACCACACGAGTCCAGTACCGTCGTGGCAGCCCGGCCATCAAGATAATTTGTTGTTGCTTTGTTAAGCTAGTTCCTCATGAAGAACTCGCAAGGGGAGTGATGGTGGTCGTGGTCGTCGACATGCTCGCCACGGGTGACGACCATGATGACAATGATTTTGATGGTGGTGATAATGAAGATGATGGTGTTGATAGCAGCCGAGGAAACGGGAGCAAACAGCTACACTCGTTGTAAACGTAAGAACCTTAAGATGTGTCTTGAGCCCGCGAGTTACTATAGGGGTTGGAAGAATTGAGCTATACTATCCCTCTGGGGTCCTTGGTATAATTTTAGTTTACTAAGCCCCAAACCCTATTCTGAGTCTTAACTCTCCTATACTAATTAAACCCCTCCCATAGTACCTCTTGTCATAAACCTTCCGGAGCCTTCGAAGGACCTCTGTACTAGAACCCTGTTCTAATTATGAAGGCCCTTGTACTTGAAGGAAGTGCTTCAAAGGAACCCTATTCCAATTGACCCCTATTCCAATCATTCGGGCCCCTCTCTATACTATGTCCCTTGGCATACTTGAAGTATGCCCTTTATAGGAACCCCATTCTTACTATATAACAGGGCCCCTAAACTCCCCCTTATAGAGCCCTTAAGATCCCTCGAAGGAACCCTTTAAGGAGCCCTACTTACTAAGCCCCATGATCCCTTTTAACAAGGCTTGAAGTAGACCCTAAACCCCAATCCCTTAAAGCGAGCCCTATTATAGAACCCTATAGTATCCCCTTTTAAAGAGCCCTAGTTATAATCTATACTGCTTGTCTTGATATATATATATATATATATATAACCTAAACTTCCCCTTATAGATCCCGTAAAGGAACCCGTTAAGTGGCCCTAGTTATATCCATACTGCTTGTCTTGAAAAACACCAGGACAGCGATCGATTCCTCGCCGCGCTCGACTCCCCGAACCATGGGCTGGGTCAAGTCCGTGGCAAAAGTGAGCTGCTGTTTTAGGGTTTGGGGTTTGAGGTTTAGGGGTTAGGTTTTAGGGTGTAGGTTAGAAGCTGACCCCACCCTGTAATAGTGACTATAAGGGTTATATTAGGGCCCTATTATATTCCTATTATACCACTATTAAGGGGTGGGGGCCCCTTCTAAGGTGTAGGGTTTAGGGTTTGGGGTTTAAGGTTTAGGGGTTTAGGGTTTATAGGATTTGGGGGCCTTGATCGGGTTTTGGGGCTTAGGGCTTAGGGGCCTAGGGGTTTGAGGTCTAGGGGTTTAGCGCATGGGGGTTTTGCTCGGCTCTAAGAATCAGCATAGGGTTTAGATTGGAGTGTAGGTGTACACGAACTACAAGCGGATACTATTCGCATCTATTCCGACCTCTCAACCCTAAACCCTAAACCCTAAACCCTAAACCCTAAACCCTAAACCCTAAACCCTAAACCCTAAACCCTAAACCTTATTCGCAGGTCTGGTTGTTTACGGCCTCGGGTTGCATAATAGTTGAGCGTTGTTTCAGCCTTCACTTTCTGTCGGGACTCGGAGCCTAAGCAATAGAACTTGAACCCGAAGGCTCCTCCTGGTAAGGAATTGGGAGTTTCCGAAAATTAGGGGTGCCTCATTCGGGGGTCCTTATAATGAGGATCCTACCCGGAAACTCCCAATTCTTGCTGTACTCCAGTCGGAGAAGAGCCCTTTCCCTAAACCCTAAACCCTGGATTACAAACAGCCCGAAGGCGGATTTTGCACTTTTGCGGGCTTCGGGCGGATCTGTGACTTAAGCTTGTTGTTTCCTTCGCGGCACGTGTAGACTTCAAGCCTTCAAGCTTTCGCAGCGTGTACATGAGCACCGTGGGTAGACTTGGGCAGTTGTCTAAAGTAGGGTCCCTTTTGGAGTCCTTTTTATCAATACCCCTTACTAAGTTATTGTTTTATGGGACCCTGATTTAGAGTGCTACCCGCTTGAAACGCAGATAGTCTGAGAAAGTACGACACAGACCATGTCTTAACAGGGGTGAAGGAGGAGACTGGTTTAGAGTTGAATTTTGGTCCGATCCCCGTCTCAGGAACAAGGGTATATAAATACTATATACACTGCTGTTGATGATATAAATCCTGCATTACCTTAAGGACCCTAAACTATGGGAATTATGGTGTCTTCCTTATCATGGGTAATGCAGGATTTATATCATCAACCGTAGGCGTGCTCCGTGGTGGCAAGCGCCATTTTCCCGACCTGTATCCCTGAATTGGAGA